TAAGTCTTCGAAAAAAAGTATTATAGACGCCAAAAACTATTCTTGATCAGCATAAGAAACCACTCTAGTTTCCGAACGAAAGGAAGCAAGTTGATAAAAATGTGGTGAAATGCATTTTAGGCCCGTAGAATTTTTGGTATTGAAAATGGAGCATAAAGGACCACATTTTGAGATGGAACCCATACAACTGTACCGCCAGATTTAAGGTATTTAAGCTGTTGTAGTCAGATTTTTAAACAGAATTTGCTGTAAATTGGCAGTTTGTGTTATCTATGTGTAGAAAACATTTTTTGCAAAGAACTGTCCATAGGGATCCAAGTTTAAGTACAATCCCCATGTATCTATACTTCCGAAATTTTGTATTGTGTTGATTTGTGTCGATTTTGACGATTTGAGGAGTGATGTCAAATTTGGTATTTCGGATTTTCGCAATGGATACGATCTATATTGACAGAAAATTGCTCCTATAGGTTCACGTCTTCGTAATGTGCCTACCTATATTCCGTATTTTGATGATTTTAGTTACTCTTTTTACCGGAATTGTTTCAAATTTGGTCTTTGGAGTTCACAATGAGAACTACTTCCTATGACAGAAATTTGCTTGTGCAGATGCAAGTCTTCGGTGTTTTAATGATTTTAGTTACACTTTTCAACAGAATTATTATCAACTTGGCATTTGGAGTTCGTAATAAGCACCGTCTTCACTGACAGATAATTGCCTGTAAAGCTCCAGGTTTTTTTTTTTATAGTCCCGAATAAGTATAACACCTGATATTCGGATTTTTTTTTTAAATTTTAGCGGCGTATTCAAAGGAAAATTTTTATATTCTGCAAATTTTTTTCCAAATGATGAAGGTTTTTGAAATTTCGACTCGGCCAAACTCAACTGTTTTTTTACTTGTTTTATTTCCATTGTTTTAGTATCGAATTCCATACATAAAGTAGAAATCGGTAATGACCAAACATTTGCAGGAAAATTACAAATTGTTGAGGTTGATGTTGGGTCCGTGGAAATTAATCTAGCATCCGAACATTTTATGGCAATGAAAATGGGTTATATTCGTCCAATATAGTTCCGATTAAAAGTACTTTGGCTGTTTTTTTTTTCATATGTTGTAAATAAATGACATCTTATCGTTCCAAAAGCTACAAATCATATTTATAAAGAACTGTAGACACATTTTCAAATGTTGGTTTTTCCTCCCCTCTTAACAGTACCGACTGATTTATATCAGATTTGTATTTCCATATAGTTTCAAGTTTTGGCACAACTCCCATACAACGATACCATCTGAAAAAAGTTATTTTATGATAGAATTTTAGCTGCAATTTAACATATTCTGATCTGAATAGATAAAGTCTTTATTCGGGGTATAATTTCTAAAATATGACTTCTTTAAATAGGTCTTCTTTTGGTGTAGAACTCATCGAATGGTGGGTCCTTATTTTTAAAGTTTTTGACCATAATACCCGAACGGAAATGTGGGAATATGAAATTTGCTTTTATGGCATTTTTATCGGCTTAAGTTTCGACTTTATGGTGGCATATTTTGGTATGTTTTCTTCCTCTACCATAAGGGAAATAAGTACCACATAGCGTGTTCCTGCTACCGAGGTTGTTTTCTATTGCGAATTTCAAATACTAACTTGGAAAAAATTTCGTGGAAAAGTGTTGCTAAAATTACCGGAATTCTGTGGACAGGTGTTTGCTACAGAGGTTGGTATCTACTGCAAACATCAAATACCTAATTTAAAATCCTCTCATTGAAAATTATGATTAATATCATAAAAATACTGACTACCTGTCATAGGCCATAACAATATTCAAATACAAAATTTGAAAAAAAAATCCGGAGAATAATGTAGCCAAAATCATCAAAATACGGAGGTACCGATGTAGTGGAGCTATACGAAGACCTGGTCCGACACAGAAAATTTTCTGTCACAGGCTGTAATACCCATTACGAACTTTAAATACGAGATTTGAAACAATTTCAGTGAATAATGTCGCTAAAATCATCAAAATACCGAATATTTAGAGGTACCGATGTAGGTGGGGGGGGGGGGTATACGAAGGCCTGGTCTGACATAGAAAATTTTCCGTTTTGGCTGTAATACCCATTACGAACTTAAATACGAGATTTGAAACAATTTCAGTGAATTATGTCGCTAAAATCATCAAAATACCGAATATTGAGAGGTACCGATATAGGAGGGCTATACGAAGGCCTCGACCTAAATAGAAAATTTTCTGTCACAGGCTACAATACCCATTACGAATATTAAATATGAAATTTGAAACAATTACGGTGAATAATGTCGCTAAAGTCAGTAAAATACCGAATATAGGTAGGTACCGATATATGGGGGCTATACGAAGACCTGGACCTGCATAGACAATTTTCTGTCACATACTGTAGCACATATTTGGAACTCTAAATACGAAGTTAGAAACAACTTCGGTAAATAATGTCTCTAAAATTATCAAAATACCGAATATCGGGGGGTATCGTTGTATGGGGGATATCGTGGACCTATATAGTCAATTCTTTTCCAGGGGGTAAACTACTTAGTTTCCAGACAATTCTATTGAAAGTTTTGGCTACGATCATGACGAACTTAATTTACCCTCCATACTATGTATAGTGGAGGCTATACAAATATTCAAAATATTGTTATTTTACAAAAACGAGAATGCACAAGGTACGAAATTGACACATTAGGGTTGCCATATATTTCCTCAATCATTCATGACTAAAGAAATGATCTCTCGAGAAAAAGGTTTTCCATGTTAAAGAGTCCGGCATAACGCTCATGTAACTCTAATGTGTTAAGTTGTTTTTGTTAAAATATATTTTTTATCAAAAGATAACAATTACATAATGCGACTTTTAACGATTTACATTCTCTAACACGGGTGGAATGCTTTCGGAATAATGGATAAGAAGTAAATATGAATGTAAATACGAATATTATGACTGTCTGATGTTCGACATGCGACTTGTTTTTTATGGACATGGATGTATTAGATTTTATATCAAGCAATGAATTTGACACAAACACGCTGGAGCCCCGATATGCGTCGCTAATTGGGATCGGTGAAACGGAAAAATATATCCCATGATATTATCTGTGTAGAGATTTTCCAAAATCCGCGAAAATGTGCCATTTCTAATTCTTTCACAACAATTATCTTTTTTCCTTGAATATTTGATAGTGTGTGTGTGTGTGTGTGGAAGAAAATCGGTGATAAATGTCTCAATAAGAAAGTGGATCCATAGTTGGACATTCGATTGGTGAGTAGATCTATTCAAAACAATTTCTCTAAAGAAATGTGTGGTTGTGTGTGTGAGAGAGATAGAGTGAAATGTAAAGGGCAACGTGTATGGCATTCGGCGGCATAGGTGGGTATATATTTTTTGGTGAGGGTGTTTGTGTGTTTGGGTGGCAAGTGAGGCTAGTCGATAAATGGGCTTGGACTAGGGTTTTACTTTCCATATATATATAGATATATTTGTATGTATATAAATCTCTAAAATTTCTGTGGTATACAATAGATTTTTTTATTCTATAATAATTTTTCTTGGGTTTTTTTATTGGATCGCATTTTTTGAAGTTGTGTGAGAGGCGAGAGATATTGAGGATGTTTGAGTTATTGGAACAAAGTACGCACTTGAAATGACATTTTTTGTAGAGAAAGGAGAAATGGTTATACGATGATTTTTCAAAAGAAAACTAATTGTCCGATGACTTACCTATCGTTTAAAGAAAAATTATATTTTATCCAATAAATTTTTCTATGTAAAAAACTCGACTTTGAAAGATTTTGTTTTTTTTTATAATAATTTGTTTTCTATAAAAGATTATTTTGCGAATGCTTTTCTATAGAAGAAGTTATCCGATAGTTTTTCCCATAGAAAACAACTTATTCGGGGGAAAGTTATCGGATAAAATTTCTTTTCTACACATAATGTTATAGACTAAGTTTTTGTTATCCTATAACTTCGTCTAACTTTATGTATACAGACAGAGTTATCGAGAAACTTTTGGTCTACAGAAAAAGTTATCAGATATTTCTTTTTTCTACAGAAAAAGTTATCAGATAACTGTTTGTCTACAGAAAAAGTTATCGGATAACTATAGATAAAAGTTATCGTATACATTTTTGTTTATAGACAAGGCTATCGGATAAGTTTCTGTCTATAAAAAAGTAATCGGATAACTGTACGCAAAAAGTTATAGTATAACTTTTTGTTTATAGAAAATGTTATCGGATAACTTTTTGTCTATAGACAAAATTATCGGTTAACTTTTTGTCTGTAGACAAAGTTATCGGTTAACTTTTTGTCTGTAGACAAAGTTATCGGATAACTTTTTGTCTGTAGACAAAGTTATCGGATAACTTTTTGTCTGTAGACAAAGTTATCGGTTAACTTTTTGTCTGTAGACAAAGTTATCGGTTAACTTTTTGTCTATAGACAAAGTTATCGGATAACTTTTTGTCTATAGATAAAGTTTTCGGATAACTTTTTGTCTGTGGACAAAGTTATCGGATAACTTTTTGTCTATAAACAAAGTTATCGGATAACTTTTTGTCTATAGACAAAGTTATCGGATATATTTTTGTCTATAGACAAAGTTATCGGATATCTTTTTGTCTATAGACAAAGTTATCGGATATCTTTTTGTCTATAGACATAGTTATCGGATAACTTTTTGTCTATAGACATAGTTATCGGATAACTTTTTGTCTATAGACATAGTTATCGGATAACTTTTTGTCTATAGACAAAGTTATAGGATAACTTTTTGTCTATGGACAAAGTTTTCGGATAATTGTTTGTCTATGGACAACTTTTTCTATAGACATAGACAACAATATATAGACAAAGTTATTGGATAATTTTTTTCTATAGACCAAGTTTTCGGATAGCTATTTGACAATAGACAAAGTTATCGTATAACTTTTTGTCTACAGACAAAGTTATCGGAAAACTTTTTGTCTTTAGAAAAAGTTATCAGATAAATGTGTGTCTATGTACAAAGCTATCTGATAAACCTTTATCTATAGACAAAGTTATCGGGTAACTTTGGGTCTATAGAAGACATTATCGGATAACTTTTTGTCTATAGAAGAAATTATTGGTTAATTTTTTTCATATTATGGAGTAATCTTTTCCATAGATAATATGATTTTTTTCTCTAAAAAATAAACCCCTTTCCTCAAAGAAAACATTTTTTCCAAATCTTAAATTTTATTTCCATTTCCAATACCTCAAATAAACTCAATATTTTTTCACCTCCAGGATTATTTGTTGTCCTTTGGAATTTGATTTCAGTTTTTTTTTTGGTTCCGGTTACGGCTCCGGTTGTTTGTTTTCTTCTTTTATTTTCATATTACAAATATCTGTGTGTGTGTGTGTGTTTTGTAGCTGATAGTTACTAAGGTGTGGGTGTGTGTCTCTCTGGCGTTTTTTTTTTTTCGTATTTTGGATTGGCGTGAGTGATATGGCTTTTTTTGGTTTTGTTGTTTCCTAAGTTCCATGTGTTTCGTTTCATTATTAAGGTCGGAGTTGAGTTTGTTGTTTTGTTTTTTTGGTTTTGTTGTTGTTGTGGTGAAATGTCTTTGATCAATTATTGTGTTCCATTTTCTAAATAGTTGTTTGCCCTCAATTCTTTAATAGTTTCTTTTCTTTCGTTATCAAATCCATTTTTCAATCCCATTTCCCCTTGTGTTTGTTTTGTTTTGCTTTTTTGTTGTATTCTCTAAAAACTACTAATTTGGCTGGTTTTTCTGTTACTTTTCATTAGTTTGTTCTTGCTGCGTGTGTCTCCTTCTACCTCCCACCTATCCACATTTACTTTTCAAATATCAATTCACCGTTCAGAAATGGATTCAAATAGGACTTTGTTTCATAACCGGAAACCGAGGGTGCTGTAATGCGTTTTCTCGCCAACGCTTTGGTTCGCTTCTCCGCATGACCGTGACTGTGGCCGTGCGTGTGATAGGGTCGCTTATCTTCTTTGGAATTCAAAATCAATGGGATCGGTATCGAGGTATAGACCGGTTCCTGTACAATGGATGTGGGTGGATTGAGGGCTGCCTCTTTGTATTTCTCCTCGGTAACCTTTTCCACCTCTGGCATCATTTCCCCAACACCACCCTCCTCTAGCATTTCCTTTTTCTGGTGATTTCGTTGATTACGTCGATGATGCTGATAGTGTTTGCGATGTGATTTACGTTTGCCATAGACTACGGGGGCGGTATCCAGAATCGGTAGGGTTTCAACGGGCCTCAAATCCTCTGCTACTTGTTCCTCAATACCCAAAGGGATACGATCCGGTTCGATGAGGGGAGGTGCCACAGGCTGACGTGCCGGGTCCAACAGGAATGTTCCATTGGTCGGCGAAACCGGTTTATTGATGCGATCCTTGGGATTCGATTGGATTATTGTTGCAGTGGCGAAAATCTCTTGGAATTTATTGCCAGCTGCCATCTGTTGCAGTTGTATGTGTTGTTTTTGTAGAAATTGTTGTCGCTGCTGTTGCAGCTGATTGAGAATACGATACTGTTCGAGTATGTGTCTGTAGAATTGTTCGGCGGTAACTTCAGATGAGTTGATGAGACGAATGGCAATTTTTTCGGGTATCACAATTTTGTCTGAAAAAAGATGAGAAAAAGGGTGGGGAAAGTTGGATTAAAAGAAGACAATTCTAGAGCACGTATGTTCAATGAAAAATTGACCAAAAATCAAGGCCACCACAAAATATTCCAAACAGTTTCTTATTTGTATTTCTGGAAGTCCTTAAATATATAGTTAAATATTTTTGGAAATAAAAAGAATTCCAAAAATTAATAGTAAGTCCTACAAAAACTAATAGAATAAAGACTAATAGAATAAAGTGCTGGAAGAACTGAACAAAATAATCTATGTATTTCCTTCTAAAATCTTTCTTGTAAAAGCTTCGAAGAAACTTTCTTAAATATCCACGTTTTGGCGGTTTGAAAGTTTTAATCAATCAAGAAAAAACTTTTCCTAAAAAATATAAGTTTTGGGGTCGATAGCCCTTGAAGAAACATTCGCCAAAAATGCCCGTTTAGAGGTCAGAATATCTTTGAGAACATATTATAAAAAATCTGATAGTCCTTGAAGAAACTTTCTTTAAAATCCACGTTTAAAGGACCAATTATCCCAGACGTTTTTTTTTAAATCGTAAAGTCTTTAAAGAAATCTTCAAAGAGGTCAGATTGCACATGTTTAGTAGTCGAAAAAAAAAATTATATTTAAAAGTCTAATAGCTCTTGAAACATATTTTCAAAAAAAATCTGATAAAATAAGAGATTTTTTTTAATCTTGAAGAGACCTCAGAGTCGGCTAGTCCTTCGTTTATAACAATATTAATCTTTGAAGAAATGTTTTTTCACGTTTGAGGGTCTGATAGTTCTTGGAGCAAGTTTCATAAAAATACGTTTTTTTTAATTTGAAGTTTGGGTGTCGTATAGACTTTTTTAATTGAAGATTTTTTAAATTTTCATGTCGAGGTCTGATAGTCCTTAAAGCAACTTCCTTAAAATATCTAAGCCTGGATCCTTGTTTAGAGATCTAAATGTCCTTGACGAAATTTTCTTAAAACAATCAGGTTTGGAGTCCTTGAGGTAATTTTCTTTGCTCTGAAAACTCTATATGTGGGCGTGTGATAGTTCCTAAATAACTTTTTTTTACAAAAAAAAATTTTTTTCAGGTCTTAAAATCCGAGACCAAGTACAGGGTGAGATAAAAAAAACTGCAAGAAAGTCAAAGGCCATAATTTTTACATTTTTTTTAAATTTTATTAAAAGAAAACATTTTTCGGAAATAGCATCAAATTTTAGGATAAGTTTAAATTTTGTCGAATTGTTCACATTTGGCACAAATTATGGCCTTCAAACGGCGCTTGCTTGGGGTGATCGACACTTTGGTATTTTTTAGTGCCAACCTTGCTTTGCAAAATACTTTAGTCACAATAGTCCAACGGATTGCTATTCGGAGATTTTGGTGGCCACAGCTGTTGGACGAGTGGCTTAGAAATGACAGCAGTCTGAAGTTGGTTGCAGTTTTTTCATCTCACCCTGTATAATGGCACCCCCTTTTTCGGTATTCTGGTGATTTAAGCGACATTATTCATCGGATATGTTTCATATTTGGTATAACGGATACTGCAGCCTATGACAGAAAACTGTCTGTGCAGGTCCACGTCTTCATATATTTCCCATATAATGGTACCTCCCAAAACTCGGAACTTTGATGATTTTAGCGACATTATTCACCAGAATTGTTTCAAATTTGGTATTTGAAGTTTGTAATAGGTACTACAGCCTATGACAGAAAATTGTCTGTGCAGGTCCACGACTTCGTATAGCCCCCATATAATGGCACCTCCCGACATTGTGCATTTGGATGATTTTAGTGACATTATTCACCGGAACTGTTTCAAATTTGGTATTTGAGATTCGTAACGGATACTGCAGCCTATGACAGAAAACTGTCTGTGCAGTTCCACGTCTTCATATTGCTTCCATATAACGGTAGCTTCCGATATTCGGTACTTGACTTCAAAAAGGTCATCCGCATTTAGAGCACTGAAATTCCTTAAAAAGTCTTTAAAAATATATTCAAATCTACGTTTATAGTTTCGAATGTCCTTTTTTAACAATTTAATCCTTAATCTATAAAAGTCCCTTAAAATTCTCGTTGATAAAAACCCCTCGTTTAAAGCTCTTTTTGAAAAACTTTTAGAGTCCCAGACAAAAAGTTTCTTAAAAATACTAATTTAGAGCACTATAATGAAGGCTCCTTGAAAATTATTTTTAAAAATTTTCTCATTTTCTCTCTGAAAAAATTTTCTTAAATATTCCCCTTTTTATATTTTCATAACTCCTTTAAAAAATAATCTTAAAATATCATCAAAAAATATATGAGGCTTGAAATCTCTGTGCCTCTGAGCCACTGTCGTGTCACTCGCCGTAATGAAATTCTGACCATTTTTGTTTCGAAAACATCGCACAAAGCATCATAAAATGATTTCATTATTTTATGAATTTCATATTACTCATACGCTCCAGTTGGTTAGTCATTCAGTCAGTCAGTCAGTCACTGCAACTGACTACATAACATAAATTAATCATACGCCCCCAACCAACGCCGCCTCCACCAAAAATACACAATGTGATGGCGTGAGCATTTGGCATTCCAAATATTAAGGATACGTAATACAAGGGCTTTCACGAACGAAATCACTCCAAAATTATTACTTTTACAAGCAAAGAAATAAAAAAGCCAGTAGAAACAACAACGACGACAACGATAACAACAACTGTTTTCCAGCCATCAGCCAAAGTAAATAAAAAACCATGACCTACAAAAATCAGAGAAACCACAACAAATAATTCACCTACACCTGTCAAAAACAGCAACACTACTACAAACAACAGCAGCAGCAAAAAAAAAGGTAACGACAATGTCATTGGAAGAGAGACAGACCGAGAGAAAGAGACGACGACGAAGAAAAAGAGAATGTTAGAATTTAGACGACGAAGAAGAAGCAAAAGCAGAAAAACGGAAATAATAACGAAATGCAATTTTTAGACACCAACACATTTGCAACACTCTGCCAGGCATTACGGCTGACTGGCTGCCTGCCTGCCTGGCAGGCAGACCAACAACAGCCATATCTTATTACGATTAACCTTGTAGTACGACGCCAACAACAACAATCTGTGCACCTTGAAAAATATTTACTGTTCATATGAAAAAAAATAGGGGAGAAATGAGGGCTGAGGGAGGTGACTACTCAACACAAGCCCCTTCACGCCTCTTAGCCTTCTGCTTTCTAGTAAGTAAGAGGCTTGCAGTTAGTCTGGTTGGCAGTCAGTGAAACAGGCTTGTTTTTTTGCTTTTTAATGTTTGATTTCCATGCTGATGATGTTGACACTGTCAATGAGGACCAAGATGGTTATGTCGCTGGTGGCGATGACAGAGATGATGGCGAGCCAGAAAATATCAACAACAACAACAACAAATTACCAGAAATCCTCCTAGAAAAAGTAAACAGATGTTGCAAGGGTGGCGCCCAAATGAAGAAGCAGACCTTAAATAAATGTCAAGAAACCCGAGCAGCCAGCAGCCACAAGAACCGCACCAACACACATTCACACTCACCCACCTTTAGAATGGCCACAACTTCAAACCTAGAAACATTAAACAACAGCAACAACAAACACCTTCACAGTTCAAAAAACAGACAAGAGAAACTAGAACATCAACTTTGCACTCTCGTTCGTTACTCCAAAGCCAAGAGCCCGCAAAAAAAAAACGATGGAAAGAAAAAAAGGGGCAAAAACGACGGTGACAAGTACCAAGTCGAAGCTAAAAAAGAAGAGCAAGAATGACAAGGGGTGGGGGGAAGCAAAAAAGAACTTTCCATTGAAAAGTTGGCTAAAAACTGATTATATTCATTATAAAATGTTAACAAATTTATAGGATTTTTGACCTGCATTTAAAGATGGGAGAGTAAACTGCACTCACACATACAAACATATCCTACAGAGAGAGAGAGTGTGTGGTGTCAGTAGCAGAATAGTCATTGCATATTTTGAATGAAAATATGCAGGTCAAACAAAGAATCGAACATATCATATTGGGGAAGGGTTACCTTGTTGGTTTTTATTTTCCATACCAAATCGTCTCTTTTTTTTGTAGAATATTTGTCAATTATTTTCTGATTTAAAAATGTAAATTTTCCAGTAATCTTCGAGCTCTAAACTTGGATGTTTCAATGAGGTGTTTCCCCCAAGGACTTTTACAGCTATAAATGCGGGTTTTATAAGAAGCCATTGGTCAAGGATGTTTAGAGTTAAGAAATTAGGATTCTTAAGAATTTTTTTACGAGAACTTATAGAGCTATTACGTTTTCTTTTATAAAACGTTTTGACGGACATCACGTCACAAAATGTTGATTATATAAGAACACTTTTTTGAAGGATTTTCATCATATCTTAACGTGGATAACTTCCGGGAAGTTTTTTAAGGACTTTCAGACGTTATCTTTAATTGAAGACTCGTTTCAGTTTCTTTAAAATATTTCTAAGCTAGGTTATGTCAGAAAAATGTTTTAAGGACTATTAGCTTTTGTTTATGTATATTTTTTTCAGGTACTATGAGATTCCTAAAAGGCTAAGGAGAGCATATTCAAGGACTATCAAGTCAACCTGAACTAGATTATTTCAGGACTATAAGCTTTTAATGTGGCATGTCGTTAAAGACGTTTTGAAGGACTTTAGACTTTTAAACATAAATTCTTAAAAAAAGTCTTTCAAGGATCAACAACTTTTTCAAGGACCCTAAGAGTCCTTGTTGTTTGTTTCTGGATAAAAATGTAAAAGATTTTTGGGGTTCCAAATGTGTATGTGTTCTTAAACTTTTTTAAGAAACTTTTAGCTCTAACATGGACTATTGAAGAAGACTTTTAAGAATCTCTTAACGTACATTCTTAAAGAAGATAATTTTAAGAACGTGTATTTCTGAAGAAGAATTTTCAAGGACCTTCATAGCTTTAAACTTGGATTTTTGAAGAAAACTTTCTCAAAGACCTTTAGAGATCTAAACATAGGTTCTTAACCCG